CATGAGCCAGCCAGTTGTAGAATTGCATTTAACTCAATAATCTTGATATAAAAAAGTTTTCCTCATAGAAATGTCTCTTAATGTTCCCCACAGTGTTATACAGTTTTTACTGCTGACATGTTCTGATCTTTGCCAAATGTTGAGTTTATCATGACCCCTTGGATAGACCCTCTTCTGAGGCATTCTAACTGCTGCTCATCAACCATATGTCAGCCTCGAAGCAGTTACCAAGAGACTGACACCCCCAGACTCCTAAAAGCAGTTTGGTTCCCTCTAAAAGGGGACTAATGGGCCATGAGCCATCCAACTCATCCCTCTTCTTGCCACTCTGGATATTGTTTTGGGGACCCAGAACTAAAGCAGCTGAACTGAAGCCTTTTTTGTGACAATTAACCTGTCTTACCAGCTCAGATCAGCTTAACATCCTCCAGGACCAGCTCAACTCTGTGACTGCTGCTGTACTCCCAAGGTTAAAAAAGACCAGATCTGACTGCTGTCAAGGAGTCAGATCTGTGCCCTCCTTGAACAATGCTGCTTCCACGCCGCCAACAAATCCTAACTGGTTTGAAATGGTGCCTAGAGACACAGGGACCAGCTAAAACTTCCTTCTGGTTCGCTCCCACTCTGGCTCCTCCCCACTCTTTCCTTCTTGTCCTCACACCCATGCTTTTACCCTGTTTTAAATGTTTTACTTACTGAACTTCACCCTAGTCCCAAACACAATGTTCCACACAAGCTCTCCTGATAGCTCACACCCTCTCATAGCTCCGATTGCTCCTTATACATCTGTGTGGTGGTTTGAATGAAAATGGTCCCCACAGACTAATAGGGAGTGATGTTATTGAAGGTGTGGTCTTGTTGGAGGGACTGTGTCACAGGGGTGTGGGGTGGGGTTTTGAGATTTCAGCTCAACCCAGACCCAGTGTCACTCTCTATTCCTGCTGCCTGCTGAGCTGGATGTAGATCTCTGCTCCTTCTCCGGCACCCCACATGCTGTCATGCTTCCCATCATGATGATAGTGGACCAAACCTCTGAACTGTAAGTCAGTCCCAATTAGATGCTTTCCTTTCTAAGAGTTGCCGTGGGTGGTCATGGTGTCTCTCCACAGCAGTAGAAACCTAATTAAGACTCTGCAAAAAGACCTTTCACCCTCTCACCCCGGGCTGATACAAGTCTTTACATCAGTCCTCTACCTCCTCCTGTTCCCTTCCTTTGGCACTCTGTAGCTCCCTGCCACTTCTGCTAGCTCATCTCAATTCATTCCTGCCAATGGGACCAGTCACGGCCACCCTGAATCAACTCTATGTCCACTTCCTCTCAGAGGCCCACTCCATTTCTCCCACCCTTTTGCCTCCTTGTCCCTCAGCCTTCCCAGAAAATCTCTTAGTTCCACTCTGTAACCAGTCATCTGCTTACAGGAACTCAGAGAGATCCGCCTGCCTCTGCCTCCCAGTGCTGGGATTAAAGGCGTGTGCTGTGGATATCACACTGTATGCTGTGAATGTGGTGCTCTGATTGGTTAATAAAGTGCTGATTGGGGGCTGGAGAGATGGCTCAGAGGTTAAGAGCACTAACTGCTCTTCCAGAGGTCCTGAGTTCAATTCCCAGCAACCACATGGTGGCTTACAACCATCTGTAATGAGAGCTGGCACCTTCTTCTGTATACATAATAAATAAATAAATCTTTAAAAAAAAAGTGCTGATTGGTCAGTAGCCAAGCAAGAAGTATAGGCGGGACAAAGAAAGAGGAGAATTCTAGGAACAGGAAGGCTGAGTGAGGAGTCGCCAACCAGACACAGAGGAAGCAAGATGTGAAGGCAGAACTGGGAAAAGGTATCAAGCCACGTGGCTAAACGTAAATAAGAATTATGGGTCAATTTAAGTGTAAGATCTGGTTAGCAAGAAGCCTGAGTCATTAGGTCAAACAGTTTTAATTAATATAAGCATCTGTGTGTTTACTTGGGTCTGGGTGGCTGCAGGCCGGGTGGGACTGAAGAAAACTCCCGCTACAGGTGTGCGCCACCACCGTGCAGCAAGAACCCCCCTCTTTAATGGACTCAGAACTACCCACTCCAACAAAGACCCTCCTTAGCAGAAAACAGCTATAAACCCCTGCCCTGCATTTTTTATATTCTGAGTTAGGAAAACTGCACCTCCCAGCTTCCCTTGTGGACTACGTAAGTAATTGGCTACATCTCCGAGCTTCTGCAGACATGTAAGTCATTTCTGCCCTGTAAGAGGAGGCACCCATCTTCCTCTGACAAAAGTGTTCCCTCACTGTGAAAAGCATGGTCCTGCCTAAGGTCAGACCAAGCCTGCCTGCCTCCCTTCTCTGCAGCTGCCTGAACTATCTACCCGCTGCAGCATGTGCCCTGGAGGGGCATGTCAAAAACCTGTTAGATGGAGACCTTAGCAAAGAGCCGAGACAGGGCCTGTACCCAGAGACCAGGGAGCACTGAGTGGTGCACGCACAGGAACATCAGTCCCGCTCTATCCAATGCTGAAGAGCGCTGCCACAGGCTCGAACCCATGGCATGGCTAGTTCTGCCAGCTGTATTACCCTTGGCCTTTTCAAGTTTCTGGTCGACTTTTCAATGTGAATTACTTTATAATTAAAACTTCAAAATTGACAAATGAAAAAAAAATGCCTACTTTAAAAATCCAAACCACATCCTACAGATTTAACCAGTGCATGATGAATTCAAGGAAATTTTGGGAAGACTCCAAAGTACTTTACTTCAGCATAACAAAAAAGTTTCTGCATTCAGTGACTCAATTTGGGGCAGGGGGCAGGCAGCTCAGTTGGCAGAGTGCGAGCATCCAGGAAGCACTGGGTCTGTTCCCCAGGACCACACGAGATGGGTCATGGTGGTGCAGGCCTCCAAGGCAGAGTCAGAAGTGATCGATTCTGCTAGATAGGCTTCCAAAGTTCCTATAACACTGAAGATGATTTACAAAAATTACATCGAGTACTCCACCTTAGGAAAATCTGTGGGGCAGAGCTAGAGGCATTGCTCCGGTTAAGAACATTTGCTGTTCTTCTAGTGGACCCAGGTTTGGTTCCCAACACCCACATGGGGCAGATCACAATCACTTGAAACTGGTTTAAGGTGATCAGAAGCCCTTTTGGCCAAGGGCACATTCACACACGTGGTGTACATACATATACTTAGAAATATACAGGTAAGATAAAATAAGTAGGGTCTGGAGAGATGTCAGGGATTAAGGGTGTATACTGTCTTTCTGGAAGATACAAGTTCGGTGACCAGCACCCATGTCAGGCAGTGTGAGAACGAAAGCTATGTTTTAAGTTTTAATTACTGTGCCTAAGAGAGCCATGAAACGAAAATGCCTCTGATCTATAAGCCCTTGCCCAAGGACAGGTACTTCCTGAGGTGCTGGAGGTTGTTGTTCATGTGAGATAACAAGCCACATGTTTTCACTTCCCTAAACAAGTTTGTTTGACCTAATTGCACCAGATGTGCTTGACCACACGTAGGTGGGAGGTACGTGGGCAGGAAATGCATCAGGATGTATGCTTACCCCAGTTTGGATGTAGGTGAGAAGTACTTAGCCTTCTGGTTTTGCCTTTATAAGCACCTGGCTAACATAGTTCATGGCCATCTTCTGGAAACCCCAGAACAGACTAGCCAAAGTCCATCATCTTGACTGGTATTTAATTAAAGCTTGCTTCAATTTGGCTCAAAACTGTGGTAGTGGGAATAACAGTAGCTCAGAACTTCCTGGAACTCCAGTTCCAGGAGGATCTGATGTCTATTGCCTTGGTGGGATCCTGAACTTGTGTGTACAAACATACACAAACACACTTAAAGATAATAAGCAAATCTTTAAAAAAAAAGAAAAAGAGACCCTCCCTCCCCAAACTCAAACCCTTAAAGAAGCCCAAAGAATCCCTGGAGAAAAAGCAAACCATCTCTCATCATCGCAAAGCTGCCTTCTATCATGTTATCACTGAGGGGGGCATGGTCTGAGACTTTTGTTTGACACTGTTACATAAAGGTACTGTGTTTACAGATTCTGAGCTTGCAACCCTGTTCTGACCTGTTTTCACTGACCTACACACTCCGGCTAAGCACACTGTTAGTTTGTTTCCTTTTGCAGTGCATGCGTTTTTATTCATCTGCATTTTGAATTAAGTCTACATCCTCTTTAGTGCACCATGGGATGGGGGACTGCCTTGACCAGGGCCAACTTGGTTGGAGCTCTCCTGCGCGGGAATCCAGAAAGCATCACATTTCCTTGTACTCCGTGAACAATACACACTGTGAACAAAAGGCTGGAGAGGAAGGAAACGTAATTGATTCTGAAGAGCGTGAACATCTGCAAAGAATGTATTCTAAAGAAACCATCTCTGAGGGCCCCACTCAAGAGAAACAGTGTCTAGTTCCCCAGGCAGAGAAGCAGCCCCTCCCCCATGTTCACTCTCTAAACCCACTGGGACTGCAGCTTGGAGACATGGAAACAGGGTAGGAGACGTCACAAAACTAACTCCACCCATTGGTGATGAGCTGATGGATTTATGCGAAGTCAGAACAATGATATGGTGGTCTACACTGTGTCATGAAGTGGATGACCGTGGTCAGCACCATTTTCTTCTCTGGTCTCAGGTTCCTTTACTCTGTCATGGGAGGGCTGGACACACAAGGCCTTTTAATGGTGCTGCCCAGGGAGGCAGGATTAACACGCCACTTTTCACTTGGGTCTCTGATTTTTTCCCCCTTTTCTTCTTCTGGTGTCGGGAATTAATCATAGGGACTCATACATGCTGGGAAAGTGCTCTACCTCTGGGCTACATTCCAGGTCTCAGACTCTCCATTTTAAATGACAAGAAAAAAAGACTCTAGCCAGATGTGGTGGCACACACCTCTAAATTCCAGCACTTGGGAAGCAGAGGCAGGCTGTCTATCAAAGCCAGAGCTACATAGTGAAACCCTGGGGGCTAGAGGAAAAGAGAGAAAAAAGATTCTAACACAAGTGATTTAAGAACATCAACATTTATTTAACATGATAAAAAAGAAATGAGATATGAACATTTGCATTAATCTCTAGTAAGCAGCCTTTATTACATGTGCTCACTGTGTGACATCTACACAATGAACATAATTACATCTGTACACAGACTGAGTACTGGATCTAAAAGCCTGCTTATTGCTGTACACATCTATTCCAATGACATAAATGTCCAGTACTTCAGAATACCTACACTTGTAATTGTTTTGCTTTTTAAAGAAAAGCTACGCAATAGCATTTTGTGGAAGCTGACAGAGTATGGCAGTAACTGCTGACGTTGCAATCTGACCGAGGAAGCATTATAGCAGAAAACAGGACAGACTTCACTTAGCAGTAATAAAATGGCACATTTTAAATATATTATATAAAATTTTTACAAATCAAGTGTCAAACAAAGTACTGCAGTAGCCAAAATGGGAGGAAAAGAAGGAAGAAAACAAGCTTCACAGGAAAGTACAGCTTTGCCGAAAAGCCAAAGGAACATAAATTCACCTAGACGTAAGCATCCAAATCTGGGGACTGCAACTAAGCAAGCTCTGGATGGAGCGCGGGAGAAAGCACCTTGACTGGTGTGTTCTGAACTCATAGCAGCAAGCCGGTGGAGGATGGTGACCTTGAGACTAGGGAGTGCACATATGGGCCATTAAAGCTATTTTGGAATAAACATTTTCCAAAGGTGATAAAACGATGCTCTGTGGTCAGAAGCATCAGAACTATGAATTTCATAGATTTAAGGTATACTGTACAACATCTTCTTACACGGCTGAGGTCCACAGCTTCAGCTCTGTGTGCTCTCAAGAGACGTCAGTGCAGCTGAAAATCAAGAGAGGGGAAATTACTTTTGACATCTGCAAAGCTAATGAACGACAGTGTCCCACAGTAACTAAGCCAGAATAACAGAAGTGACAAGCATGGCCTGGAAACCCTAACACAGAACACAAGGAGGGTACTTTCTTTATTTCTCTCAGCTCCAACTGAGAATGCAGAGAAGTGTGACGCAATTGAACAGCAATTCAGGAAAATGTCTCAAATTTGTTGCTGAACAGGTCAATAAAGTAGGCACAGCTTTGCCTGACTTCACGAACCAATTTACTGAACCACCCCCACAGCAGCCGTATTTTTGAGGATTCCTACATCCCACTGAAACTACGAGTACAGGAAAACATGACAGACACAATGGTAAAATGTAAGTAGTGACAGTGTGTACCACAGGTTAGCTGTGTAGGGTGGCCACATAACAGGAGATGTCTGTGCCTGGATGGAATGACCAATGCCACTTGGAATAAAAGTTCAAAGACAAAATCCAGTAAATCTTAAGCTCTGACCATCCTTTGTTAGAGGAATGGTTATTGTGCCATAAGTTATAGCCTGTTTAGTAAGCCAAAAATTCTTGTGAATGGCTTCTTGTTTTGATGTAGAGCCTCATGAAGCTCAAGCTGGCCCGGAACTCACTTTTTAACCAATGATGACCTTGAATTTCTGATTCTCCTGCCTCTGCCTCCCAAGTGCTGGGATTACTGGTGTGTACCATTGTGGTGGTTTGAAGGAAAATGGCCCCCAAAGGGAGTGGCACTATTAGGAGGTGTGGCCTTGCTGAAGGAAGTGTGTGGCTGTGGGGGTGAGTTTTGAGGTTTCCTACGCTCAATCTAAGCTAGTTCAGTTCACTTCCTGTTGCCTGTGGTTCAATATGTAGCAGCTCCTTCTCCAGCACCATGTCTGCCTGCATGCTGCTGTGCTCTCCTCCATGATGATAATGGACTGAACGTCTGAACTGTAAGCTGCCACCTCAATTAAATGTTTTCCTTTATAAGAGTTGCCATGGTCATGGTGACTCTTCACAGCAATAGAACACTGACTAAGACAATCATCATGCCTGGTTCTGGGAACTGAATCCAGATTCTTCATGTATGTTAGTTTTGTGCTCTACCAACTGAGCTACATGCTTAGCTCCTGTAGACAGTGTTTTGTTTTGAGACAGGGTTTCGCTATGCAGCCTTGGTCCCTGGAACTCACTATGTAAACACCAGGCTGGCTTTAAACTCAGAGATCCAGCCGTGTCTGGCTCTCAGGTGCTGGTGGGTTAAAGGCGTGTGTCCTCACACCTGGCCCTGAGAATGGTTCTCAATGTCCATCTCTTCACTAACGTAAGTCTAGGCCATCCATTCGGCCGCATGGCATGTCTATCTTTCCCTTGTCTAGTGTTAGTCTGTCACCAGTGTCAGAAGTTTAGGAAACGGAAAAGGCAAGACACAGATAGATACACCTGTCATAACAGGTTGCTCCTAACTCTAGTAAGCGTCTCAACCCTGTGCAGAGGCTGAACTAAAACCCACAGAAGCATCTGGGCTCACAGCCTCAAATCAAAGCTGACATCACAACGTTTCTGGACAAAGAGATGAGACAGGACAAAAGTGAGGGTGAAGACAGATTCCAGACAACGGGCCCTGCTGCGAGAACGGACAGGTTAGAAGACTTTCTGTGTGTGTGTGTGTGTGTTACCACTTCCGACTGTTGGGAATTTATGGTAACTGAAAAGCTCCCAGCACTGTAACAGGTGGTAGATGCTGAGAAAACATGGAAAAGCCATACAAATTCTCATTCTGCTGTAGTTTTTCAGGAAAAGAAAACTATTTACTTATCAGCACAGAATGATGGTAGAGGAAGCACTGTCTATGTTGTTGATACGCAGGCCCGGGGTCAGTGAGACAGCTTAGCAGTGCCGCCCCCACACTTAACCACCAAGGTCAGATTCCAGAACCGACTCCACAAAGCTGTCCTCTGGCCTTCACACACGTGCTGTGGCACACTCATGCCTGTCACACACATACATCACACAGTAGAACAAACAAACAAACAAAGGTAGCAGCGACTCAGAAAGTCAGTCTCGGGGCACTGCAAGGAGAGCGCCTTCTCCTCGGCTTCCTGGCCTCCAACAGCACCCTGGGATTTCAATGCTCTACCACAAACTGCATCCTAACCATGCAGCATCATTTCGGCCTCTAAAAAACCAAGTCACACCAAGCTTACTCACCAGGCAGACGTGCCAAACTAAGTGCCCAACGCTGTCCTGTGAGCATGAAATGACTGAAAATGCATCCCCGGCCCTGAGCTCGGGCAGGACGGCAGGTCGGAGCACAGCTAGGGCTTCCAGGTCTGGCACAGGCCAGGAACTGAGGAAAACACTGTCACAGAAATCTAAGTACCGTCTGGGCTTCAATACAGGCCTGGTGTGCTGGCAGTGCACAGCCCAGAGTTAATTCACTTGTACTGCTGTTCCAAGAAATGGAGACACTCCAAGTACAACACTCCTAACACAAGGAACCAAAGAGAAGGAGAAGACATACTTCTGAGACTACACACACATGAAATGCGATCCTTCTGTGAGCTTTGGCGGAGTAGGCGGATCTGGTGATGCAGAGGACTCAGGAGACAGGGACAGACTTTTCACTAAAATACACCAAGAAAACAGAAGATAAATATATACACACAAGCATATAGATATATATATAAACATACACATACATTGTTTTGAACAAAGCTAATTAATATTTATTGTGTGTGTGTTTGTGTATGCATGCTTGTGGGGTCAGAAGACAGCTTAGAGCTCCAACTCAGGTTGTCAAGCTTGGTGGCAAGTGCCTTTACTCTGAGCCATCTCTCCAGTCCAGAGGCCAGAAGATGACATTTTTAAGACACCATGGAGTGGCTCCTGATGCTGTGATCTCCACAATGCCACAGGGCTGGGGAGGGGTGAGACATTTTCTTTCTTTGGTTTTTTGAGACAAGGTTTCTCTGTGTAGACTTGGCTGTCCTGGAACTTGCTCTGTAGATCAAGCTGGCCTAGAACTCAGGGATCTGCCCGTCCCTGTCCCGCCCCTTCCAGAGTGCTGGGATTAAAAAGCCATTCTTTCCTTCTTGGCTTTGAGGCCAGCTGCCAGCTGTCTGTTACACGCAGCTAAGTACCAAAGAGCTGTTAATATTGTGGGTTCACCACCACAGCACTCTGATCCAGACCGCACAGCGGCAAAGGGCTCTGTTGATCACAGTGAGAAGCCCTGTGCTCACTGCCTGCTCAGTACTGAAGGCCCCCCTAGGGAACACGGCTCAACACAGACACTGCTAAGGGACACTGCCCTCGGGACCTGAGCTCACCACTGTTCCTCTTTGGTGTCAGGCTGTCCTGAGGGTGTGAGTTTAGAGGACTGGAGCGTGTCTTGCTTGCAGAGTATAAGAAGCAAGCATCTCAGAGGCCAGGCATGGTGGTGCACACGTTTAGTCCCAGCACTCGGGAGGCAGAGGCGGGCGGATCTCTTGAGGTCTACAGAGTGAGCTCCAGGACAGCCAGGGCTACACAAGGAAACTCTTGACCCCCCCCCCCCAAAAAAAAAAGCAGCAGCACCACGGCAGCAAACAGTTTAAAAGCACACCTAACCCCACTCCAATCCTCCAAAACTCCACCAGAAAGAAGAAAAAAGGGTTCAAAAACACGAGAAACCTGAGGCTGAAGCCTAGGGGTGAAGAACTTACGTGTGAAGGCCAAGCTTCCACCCCTACATTCACACAAAACACACAAGAAAGAGACTAGCACCCAACCGTCTGCTCTCTAATGTGCTACGGACAGTGGGATACTACCCCACTGGAATTCCAGGGTGCACCATGGTATCAGCCAGGCCAGAGCAAGCGCATAGTCCTGTAACTTCAGTATCAGGTAACAAAGTATCAGGCTGTGGGTTCCAAGAATCCAGGTCTGCAAGCAGGAAAAACTGCCATGTAGGAAGGCATTGCTTAAAGACTTTGTTTTAGCCGGGCGGTGGTGGTGCACGCCTTTAATCCCAGCACTGGGGAGGCAGAGGCAGGCGGATCTGTGGGAGTTCGAGGGCAGTCTGGTCTACAAAGTGAGTTCCAGGACAGGCACAAAGCTACACGGAGAAACCCTGTCTCGAAAAACAAACAAACAAACAAACAAACAAACAAACAAAGACTTTGTTTTAAATTATGTAGCTAAGGGGGTGGCACACTTCTTTAATCCCAGCACTAGGGAGGCAGAGGCAGGTGGGTATCTGTAAGTTGAGGCCAGCCTCATCTACAAAGTGAGTTCCTGGACAGCCTGGGCTATTTCATAGAGAAACCCTGTCTGAAAAACAACAAACAAACAAACAAATCTGTATGTCTGTGTAGAAGTGGGTGCATCTGATCTCAGGTGCTCAAGGCATCGGATGTGGTATCAAAGTATGTCTTTAGCACTGAGCCATCTCTCCAGCCTGATGATTTTTGAGACAACCTCCAGAGGACAGGAACTGAAGGTGAGTCACCATGCATGGCTCTTCTGTGAGCCAGTCCTCTGAGCCTGGGTGGCAGAGGAGCAGGGACAGTTGCTCCTGCCTTGGGGACTCCCCGTGTAGAAGCCCCTGCTGAGGGAAGCAGGACGCATGCATGTACCTGGGGTCTGATTCTCTCTGGGAACCTCAGGAGGTGACTCAGAAGAAGCGTGAGTTCCCTCCTCTTCATGAAGACTCTGTGCTTCTTCAGGGCGGCTTTCTGCCCGGTGGTTTGTCACCTCCGCCTCTTCTTGGGGGCTGAGGAGAAGAGACTGGCATGTTAACACCGCAGGACACCATCAGTTTCTTCTGTTCTTCTGATACGGGATCTGGCTACATGGCCCAGCCTGTTCTTGAACTTGATCCTCTTGACTCAGCTTCCCAAATGTGGAGACCACAGGTGTGCGCCACCATACTTAACTTTGTTTTTTTTTTTTTTTTTTTTTTTGGTTTTTCGAGACAGGGTTTCTCTGTGTAGTTTTGCGCCTTTCCTGGAACTCACTTGGTAGCCCAGGCTGGCCTCGAACTCACAGAGATCCGCCTGGCTCTGCCTCCCGAGTGCTGGGATTAAAGGCGTGCGCCACCACCGCCCGGCTCATACTTAACTTTGTAATGGAAACTTATACTACACAGGAGCGGGGTGTGTGGTGCATACCTGCAATCCAGCACGTGGAAGGTGGAGGCAGGGGATCACAAGTCCAAGGTCATCCTGATTTCATAGAGAGTGCTAGGCTGGCCTGTGCTACTGAGACCCACTCATACAGAAAAGATGCCACCATCTATATTTAGTAACTTAATGTTTTCTTGTAAATAATTTTATTTTCTTTCTTATAAAATACAAACAGAGAAAGACCGGAGCAAATCATCTAGGAAGCTGCCAGTCAGCTCAGCAACTCCCCACTTTACCGCCTGTGTTTCAGTTAAACTGCACATGAACCCTGACTCCCTAAACCAACATTTGTTCAATTTTCTTTTTTAAAAAAGATTTATTTATTATGTATACAGTGTTCTGCCTGCATGTATCCCTGCAGGCCAGAAGAGGGCACCTGATCTCATTACAGATGGTTGTGAGCCACCATGTGGTTGCTGGGATTTGAACTCAGGACCTCTGGAAGACCAGTCAGTGCTTCTAACCTCTGAGCCATCTCTCCAGCCCTCAATTTTCATTTTATGTATGGCCTATGTGTATGTCTGCACATCATTTGTATGCACAGTACCCTCAGAGGTCAGAAGAGGGCATCAGATTCTTTGGAAGTGGAGTTACAAACAGCTGTGAGCCACCATGCACCTTCTGGGAATCCAACAAGAGTGCTCCATAGGAGCAGTCCATGCTCTTAACTGCTGAGCCATCTCTCCAGCCCCTAGCATGTGTTTTTAATACTTTAACACCATTATTTATCTGGCCAGTACTCCAAAAACTTTCCTGACTCTCTTATAATGCCAGGTTAGGACTGTTTGATTAGGATTGCAAAAGGTCTATTCACTGTATTTCCAGATAGGATCTTAATGTGTGTGTGGGTGTCACATGCTTAGGTATGTGGAGGTCAGAGGTATTGTCTCTTCCTCTATTACTCTCCCACTTACATTTTCTGAGCCAGGGTTTCTTCACTGCACCTGGGGCTCTTGGATTTGGCTAGACTGGCTGGTGCAAGAGCTTCTGTGACGCACCTGTCCCTGCACAGCCTCCCGTAGCGTACAGGTGTGCATTGCTGTGCTAATTTCTATGTGCATACCAGGGATCTGAACTCATGTTTGTACAGCAAGCAACTAACTCATTTCTCTAGACCCATGAAGTCTACTTCTGATCCAGAAGCTAGCCTTTTTTTGTTGTTATTGTTTTTTGTTTTTTTCAAGATAGGGTTTCTCTATGTAGCTCTGGCTGTCCTGGAACTCACCCTGTGACCAGTATGGCCTCAAATTCAGAGATCCACCTGTCTCTTCCTCCCAAGCACTGCCACACCCAGCTTAGCTCACTATTTTTAAAGAGTCACACAGCTGAGCTGGAGAGGTGGCTTAGCAGTTTATAGAGCATAGGCTGCTTGCTCTTGCAGATTACATGGCTTCCCATCATATGGCAGCTCACAATCATCTGTTAAATCCAGTAATGGCCTCAGTGGGCACTACACACACATGGTATATATATATATATATATATCAGGCAAAACTCTCATACACATGAAAATAAACAGATCATAAGAAAGAGCCTCCCAGCTTTCTGAACAGCTGGTTCCTTTCTTCTTTAGCTCTTACCTGCATGGAACATCTTCTAGTGCCTGACCTTTATGCTTTTCTCTATCCATCACTTCCTCAGAATTCATCCCATTTGGCTCAGGTGTGAAAAGCATTTCATAAAAAATACTTTCAGTTCTTTTAAGCTACAAAATAAGAAAAAAAATGCTTTTCAGAGCATTCTTGCCATATTTAATATTAGTAAAGCTAAAATGATCACACTGTTTAAAAATTATGCCCCCAAATTATACACTATCACAAATATTTGTGAATATGTCTAGATTTAAGTATATTAAAGATATTAACATCATTTACTACTAAAAGTCATTTATACACAGAGATGATACACATTGCTGATGTAGCCATTGGGTGATATTTCTATGTGGTGAATATATCAAGCAAATTAAAGAAAATCTATCAGTTCATTTAGATTTAGAGCTCTCTGACTGAAAAGCACACCTTAGTTCCTTGGATCTAATCTTTCAAGTACCCCACCACCCTCCCATATCTGCCACTTCTACCTTTCTGCCGAGATCCACATTCTGGGGTTCAGCTTCTTCTAATAGAACAGTTTCTGCTGCTGGAGTTTCATGGTCTGGCCTTACATCATTTTCTCTGCAGACGGTGTCTAGCTCCTTAATGTTATCATCCCTCCGTAGAGTCTGCTCAAAAGACAGATAGCATTTTTATTCATGTACTTACATTTGTTATTGTTTTGAATCAGGTCTTGTCCCAGGTTGGCCCATATCTCACTATGTAGCTCAGGCTGGCCATGAATTTGTAGTGAGTCTTTTGCCTCGGCTTCATGAGTTGGTACGATTATAGACGGGTCTTGCTATGTAGCCCAGGCTGGTGGGGAAATTGTAATCCTCTGCCTACACTTCCTGAATGCTGTGATTACAGGTCTCTGC